GCTCAGCGCCGCCTCGCAGCCGAGGTGGCGGCTCCGTGGCTGGGCGCCAGGTTATCGGGGCTTGAAAACAAGCTTTATGGCTCCCACCCTAAATCCGAACTGCCTTTAGGCAGTGGCCAAACGGGTCTCGGGCTCTGAATTAGTCTTTTTTTCCTTAGAGACGTATGGAGGTTTTCTTTCAAGTCGGGAATGAAGGCAGGCCCGTGGAGCGGACTGTGGAGTGACTCTTACTCCTGCTAAACCTGTCCTAGGATCTGGGGAGTGCTTCTTAGTAGTCTTGTTGCAACTCGGGAGCTATTTGCTGGGATGGACCTTACACACGTGCCGTGCATTTTCCTTCAGTGTAGTTGGTTTAGCATAGGAGTACTGCATATATGTCTAGATAAATGAGTTAAAATTGAGATAAGAACACTTAATTTTTGTAGTGTTTTGTGAGGGTAAAATCTGAATCAAAACAGTATTCTTTCAGGTTTCTGGATTTTTAATTTTTTTTTGCTTTTGCTTAGTGTATCACTACCCTTTTGCATAATGCCAAATGTCAGATGACTGTACGAGCTTTGTCAACAGTTGTCGTATGAAACTACTGGCTGGAAGTAGTGAAAAGTAGTTTAAAGAGCTTTTATTTAGTATTTTGAACATAATTTACATCTGACGGTCTTATGTGTACATGTTCTTTCTGGAGGCTTTAATATTAATAGAGATGTTGATTTTCAATTTTCATTCTAAGTCTTAGATATTTTTCTGAACAGTCATTGGATTAAAATATTTGGGATTGTTTTTTTTTTTTTTGTTCTTTTGACTCATCAGAAATACCTAAAAAGTAAAAATTAAGGTGGGATATATAGGTTAGACTGAAATAATGGACTAGTGCGAAAGGGTGAAACTCAGATTAATTGAACTTTTAAGAGGATGTTTTCTACAATTGAAAGGGTTAGAAGTTATTTTTTGGTACAGTCAGATTGAGGTTGGTGGGTACTTGTAACAGTTTTTTTTCGATCAACTTCTGTACCATCTACTTTTTAGCTAAAGCAAATGGCTTTGAATATATGGACCCCAATTATAAATTTTTATTACTTCTGAAATGACTGAACGGTCACTAGTAGCTTGAATGAGGTGTTTACTTTTAAGACATTTGGTTAGAAGCAATTGGTTATTACTCTAGTCCGTAACTAAAAGCGGTTGTGTTAAATAGTGCTAATGCTTTATAGGAAGTTTTTTCTATCTGCTCTAGCCCTTGAAGAGGTGCATAGATGTTAAAGAAATAGATCCCTGTTATCAAAAACAGTTGTCATAGAATCGCCTTCATGAGCTGATTGCTTTTAGTTAAGATCTCTCAATTAATGAGTGGCTTAATTTAAAATGGGACTTTTTCTTTGAATACATGAAAATAATAAAACTGGTAGAATCAGCTGTTTTCTAGAAATGTGTGTGTGCACTCATTTATGAATGAAGGATCTGGTAAATAATATTGATCTGATTACAATGAGTGAGAATGCTTATTTGGAATGAAGTAATTGCCACTAAATTCTTGGGGAACTTCATTTACTGATAGACTGTGAGACTACACTTAAGTCTGTTATTTACATTTTTTTAATGGTTTAATTTCAGGGGGTTTTAGTACAAGATACATTACAAAATTTGACATTTAAGGTGAACTGAAGTCTTGATTGTCACAGCATTTAAATAAAAGGTGAACTCGAGGTTAATATTCTAGCACTCAAATCACTGTAAATTCTGTATTATTAAAGTGTTCTTTTTAGCAAGGAACTTTTGGATATACAGCCTGTTGGATTAAAAGTAATTAATACTTGTAACTTTTTTTCCTTAGTTTGGATGTACTTCCAAGAGTGAGTTGCCCAAATCATCCAGAAACCTCTCTAGTAGAGGATTACAGAGCTGGTGATATGATTTGTCCTGATTGTGGGCTAGTAGTAGGTAAGTAACTATCCATATTTTTATGAATTACCATATACCATATAAATCTACATGCAGAGTTTATTTGTTTTCTCACAAAACTGGTATATAATAATTCAAGTATTAAAAGGTTTTGATTTGATACCTAAATGTTTTCTGTTGACTAAAAGGTTTTGAATAGTCTGTCTTATGGTAACTTCATACATTATTAAAAGAATCAAACTGTCTTTAAAGATTGAAAATTCAAAATATGGTGTAATATTGAATTAGAATATTGTGCTGTCTAGTCCAGTTAATCACAACTGTTGTTTCAGTCAGGAAAGTATAAGAAATGTAATAAAAGCTCTTTGTCAAATAACATGCTAACAAAAAAATTCTCAAGTTTCCCATTAAGGTTATCTTCTGTCCTGAAGGATTTCTCTTTATATCATTGCCAGCACCTGTTTTTATTAATTACTTGTCCTAAAGCTTTTAATACTATCCAAAGTAAATATGCAGTTTTTCCTCTGGAATTTTGCTGAGCTCTTTTACTCTGTTCGTGTGGCAGTAACTTCCACAGGCTAAACTTTGTTTCTAAACAGGAATACTTAGTGTGAAAGGCCATTTAGGCATTGTCTTTGTTGAAATGAGAGAGAGGAAGAAACATGTTGTCATAGAACATGCTCCATATTAATTTATATGTATCTTTTTTAGGATGAGCATCTTATTGTGCATCTTACTATCTTTATTCCTTTTACATGGGAAGATTTTCATGCTTGTGTTATGATCATTCTTTAATTTCTGTTTCTCATTTCTATTAAGTTTTTGTAGACTTTTGTTCTGGTTTTGTCTGGGATAGTTAATTTTCTTCCTGGTAGCTGGTACAGTGCTGTGTTTTGGATTTAGTGTGAGAATTATGTTGATAACACACTGATATTTTAGTTGTTGCTAAGTAGCGCTTATCTTGAGTTAAGGCTTTAAGTTTCTCAATGTTCATCAATATTATTGTTATTATTTTATTTAATTTTTGTTATTAAACTGTTCTTATCATACTCTGTGAATTTCACCCTTTTTTCCTGATTCTTCTCCCCATCCCACTGAGAGGGGGAAGGAGCGAGGGAGTGAGTAAGCGGCTGCATGGTGCTTAGTTGCTGGCTGGGGTTAAACTGTGACAACATGCCATAACCAAAAGAAAATCCTCTGTTTTGAGGGTGCATGTTCAAGTGATTCATTCAGTGATGTTAAATATTTCAGAGGGTTTTATATCCCTCTCTTCTAGACTGTGGTGATTTTGTTTTGGTTCTTGTCTTGCGCTGAATTAAAAATTTTTGTACTGCTGTTAGAATGAATCAAATGATTTAATAAGTTACAGCAGAACTATTACTTATTTAGCCAGGTGACTAAAATGTGTCTTTTGTTTCTGCAAACAGCAAACTTCTGTATAACTTATTAAAAGAAATGTTAAAATATTGAAATTTGAGTAACTATTTCAAGATTATTAAGCCATTTAAAAGGCCGGGGGGAGGTTTGTTACTTTCTTTGTTAAAAGAAGGTCTGGTTTAAATTGCATAAATTCTGGTAAAGATAAATTAATTGTAATTTATTCAAATGTCAATTCAAATGTCCACAACAATATTTCCTCCTGAAATAATGGTAACAGACTTATAAGTTATTGCTTAAAAATAGTTTTGTTCATGTTCAGCTCTTTGTGTGGCTGCCATAGAAGTTGAACCAAAGTTTAGAAAAGCCCATCTTGATCAGTTCATAACTTTTTAAGATAATTATGGCTTTTGAAGACGAGGGAAAGGTTTTGTTTGATACATGTCATTTTTAAGAACACACTCCCTAATCTGGGAGTTTATCAGAAATCTCACTTCATGTACCTTCTGTTATTTAGTTACAGTGTATTCTTGGTTTAGAGATTTACTCTCTGGTCTTTTCTGAATCAGTAGTGTTTCAATAAGATTGAAATTTGAAGTTAAATCCAGTATGCTGCTTTCTCTTTGCACAGTATTTTTCACTTGTTTCAAGTAAACCGTGCTTTTTTGCTGTGCAGTATTAAAACAATTAAGTCTTCTAGTGTCAACATGACTGAAGCTGGTGACTTTTTAATATTGCTTCAAAATACAGCTTTAGTCTACTAAATGTTCTGATCTGCCTTTTCACTGTTACTTTTCCTGGGTTGGCTTGTGTTCCATTTTTCATGGTAACTGTTTCCAACTTGTTAACTTTTCCTCCTGCTAATTGCCATTTGCATGAAAGGCAGTCAGAGACCTAAATTGAAATTATCCATGGAATTTTGATACTAATCTGGGTTGACATGCATCTGAAACTTTACACGCCTATGTCCAAGTTTATCTGCTGTCATAAATCTTGTGTTTTATTGTACATTTTTTTCTCAAATCATTCTAAGATAAGTGGTACAGTAAGTGTTTGTGTGCTGGCTTGAGGATTCACGGACGGAGTTTTTAAGGTTTGGAGAAGTAGTTAGTTCTATGTTCATTGAAAACATTGACTGTATCTCATTCTTCAGACAGACTTGGTGGAGGGAGAAGCATTTTGTTCAAGAACACAAGGCTAGTAAATCTTTTTTTTTGACAGGTAAATATTTTGCTTGCTACCTTTTAGGCAGTAAAAAAGACTGGAAGTCAGCTGATATGCCAGAAGGGGCTGAAGAAAGCAGAATCATAGTGGAATACACAGCACTGAATTTTCTTGATGTAGCAGGGGTGGTGAGCTGAATTTCAGAGGGGGTAAGAATGAGTCTAGTGGCATGTACAGCTGTGTAGCATCTCAGCTAGGTAGGAATACCTTTCTAAGCAAAGACTTTCCTTAAACTTCTGTATAGCTTCATTAAATGTTATCTTAGTGTGCAGGAGTTGGAGCATCGAGATGTTTGTTTTCAGTATTTTGTAAGTGATTTTCTCTAATGGGTTATCTCTGTCTGCCTCAATGGGCAGATATAGCTTAGAGGAGAACGGTGCTCTTGTATGGAGTCGTTTTTGGATAGCCTTAAAGCGGAAGTCTGTCTTCAGTGAGAATCCTTGGACATGTATCAACTTGTTAAAGCTTTGAATCAGATGACCTGTATTCAGATGTTTATTCCATGTTCTGCTTCTTCCTGAGTGTTCAGTTAAAGAATTTTTTTGAAAAATGTTCAATAGCTTGTGGTCAGCAGTGAGGCTGTTACAAAATTCTGTCAGACTATTCTGTTAGGTAATGCATCTGAACAGTTTAAGAACTAAATGGTGCATCTTAAATTCAGTTTTGATCTATGAAGAACAGGTAAGTTTTAACTACACCACAGATATTTTTTTCTCTACAATGCAAGAGACAAGGAGGAGGGGGTTTCATGATTGCCTCTCTGATGGCCAGTCCATTACTCAGGATGTCTGTCATTAGGGGTAAGATTGATTGCATCTGTACATAGATGCTTGTTTTCTGAAAACCTTTTTTTCCAGCTGTTGATAGTGTCCTGTAAATGGAGAAGGTGCTCAAGTACTTCTGACTTGGATCCAGTAGAGGGCAGTTATGCAGTTATGTCTATTCTAGTATCTTTATACCTCAAAATGTTGAAAAATATTTTCATATTTGGGTGTATGTTTATGGTTACTTTCTGAGAGTATTATCAACATTTAAAACTAAAATGTGAAATCTCAATTTAAAGTATTGCTTAAATAGGCAAAAATCTTTAGATACGGATGTGTATTGGTACCTTATATCTGATTACTGCTTCTGCACCTGGTGTCCAGAGAACTAGAAAGTGTCTGATGAGTTAGTCCTTGCAAACAAAACTCTTTGCATCCATGGAAAATCTAATTATAAAGGATGCTAATAATTAAAGAAATTCTGAATAGTTGACACTTGCATGAGCATTCATGGATGCTTGATTTGCACATGGGAGTCTGTAATATGAAGAAAGTGACTTGATAGCCTTTTTCAGAAGCATTTCAAATAGTCTGTTTTAAATCTAACCCATTTCAGCTTGTCCAGGTTTTGGCTGGGATAAAAACTTTTTTTTTCTTCCTATTTAGTAGCTAGAATAGTACTGTGTTCTGGATTTAGTATGGGATTTGATATGAGAAGAATGTTGATAATACACTGATGTTCTTAGTTGTTGCTACGAAATCTATGCCCTGCTAGTGCACAGGTACACAAGAAGCTGTGCAGGAGCAGAGCCAGAGCAACAGACACAAATTGGCCAATGGAATATTCCATGTCTTATAACATCATGCTCAATATATTGTTAAGGGTCAATTGGGAAACTCACTCTGGCTTCTGGGATTGTGGTTTCAGGATTCTCTCTTCTCTGGGATCACCGTCTAGGAACGGGCTGGGCATTGGTCAGCGGGTGCTAAGCAATCATTGTGCATTACTCATATTTTCTATTATTACTATGATTATTATAATTATTTTATTTCCGTTATTAAATTGTTTTTATCTCAGCCTGTGTCCTTAACCTTACCCCTCCAACAATATTGTCTGTTCTCTGGGCATGGGGGAGGGTGAGTGGCTGTGTGGTGTTTGGCTGCTGGCTGGGTTTAAACCACCACACAGCTTTAAAGACGAGGGTGATGGTTCTAGCTGTTTCAGCACTAATGCTTGTAACAGTGGAGACTTAGACTTTAGATGTCAGAGGTGGCATCTTTTATCAGGCTTTGTAATAAGCACTGCTATTAGCATGAAATTTTTTGGAGGGTGGAAATTTTCTAGTTAGTGGGTTCTAGGCTGGGAGCCAGAGGTGTTTGAGCGCCACTATGAAGTATGCTTCCATTAGTTGAAGTACTAAATTTATTTAGTGGAATAACTAACATTTTGAATCATCCTGTTTCAGAAATATTTTTTTTACTTCCTTATCAGATTGGCAAAGTGATTTAGGGCAAATAAGGGCTAGAAATGATCTGAACTCCTGATGGAAGAAGAGTCCAAAGCCTCTTATTTTTGTGATATAGTGTAGATCAGACACATTTTTCACTGAGATTCTGTCGTTTGAAGCATCCTTTGCAAGTACTTGAGCTGTTTGTCTTTTAAAGACCGCAAGTTCTCGAGAGGTCTAACTTCAACCAGACTTGTTCACTAGATTGTTTAACATTTCTACTCATTTGTTTCCTCCAAAATTATTACAAGCCGATGGTTTAGGAAGCTTGGAAATCCTACTATATTTGTAATCATTTTGATATGCAAGAGCTGCTAAGCCTGTGTTGTTGTAGCAGTCATTTGCTGGCAGTGTTATACTGTGTGTTTCAATCCATAGTTGCCTGCTGGTACTGGTATGATGCTGTTGATGTCTGGAAACTAGTCAAAGTCTTCTGTGGGTTTTGTTCATTTTTGTTTGGTTAACATCTCAAAGCCTGCTCTGGTTCTGTTGTTTTCAGCTGAGTCTTGTGGATAGGCTCGTGTTGCTGTTGGTGATGATGCATTTGTGGTGTTGACAATTTATTGAAAACAAGTTAGCTTCTTGAAAATAATATTGCTATCTTACCGAAGGCTGGAAATTTTGTAGAAAAAGCTCTAACTGTAAAATTGTGTTGTTTTTTTTTCTTTTTTCCCCTCAAGAGTTTATTTTTTGATAACATTCAATATATCTGGTCTTAAATAGAAGTTCTAAAGCTGAAAACGGGGAAAAAAAAAGAGTTTATATTTTGGAAGCTATAAAGCTGAGTACTACTGTATGGGGCAGTGCATAAGGTAATAAATAGAATATGGAGGAGTAGATATCTGGAGTAATGTGTCTAGCTCTGGGTTCCTTGGTACCAGAAAGATAGAGACTTGCTGGAGCAAGCTCAGCAGAAGGCTGCAAAAGTGATTTAGGGACTGGAGCATCTTCCATATGAGGAGAAACTGAGAGCTAAGACTGTTAGGTTAGTCTGGAAGAGAGAAGGTTCAGTTCAGCCTGGCTCTATGTGGTTACATGTCCCCATGATTCTCTTCAGCTTGTGTTCTACTACCTAGGTTTTTTATTGTAGTTTGTTTCAGCACCTCATTACTCTGGTTAATAAGGAGTTGACTGAAATTAATTGTAATTCTATATATTTTTTAAAAAAATTGGCGGTGTGAAATGCTTTTAGTTAAAAATATATGTGCTCACTAGATGGCAGCAGATTCCTTAACTAACTGTAAGAAAAACATTCTGTAGAAACAGTAGGTATTTTGGTACTTCAGAATGCAAATAAACTTTACCATATTTATGTTAAGATTAAAATATTAGTTAACAATACATAGAATTTGATGCAATGTACAGCTAACCTTAGAGCTTCTCTGAAAAAGACAAGAATATACCTTCTCAGAACTGTTTCAAGACTGGATAACATTACTTGAGTCTTGAATTTCATTCTATTTCTTGTTTTGATTAAACATCTTCAACTTGCAGCTATGTTGCCTTCATATAACAGATAATACAAAATGTGAAAAGAGAATAAAGTACATGTGTATTATGAGTTAATTGCAATTGGAGTGTAACAAAATAGCTGTTATTATTTTTCTATAAATATGTAAGTGCAAATTCAGGGCTTGTTGAATGAAAATATTTTCCTTTGAGAAATCACTTTCTATTCTTGGGGAGGAGTAAACATACATAATTGGTGATGTGTAGATGTTTTAAGCTAACTTTTAAAGGCTGTTCAAAGTTTTGATACTGACCTGAGTTTACTCTTGCACTTCCGTAGCGCATGCTCTTTGCATTTGGCAGTTGTGAAGAAAAGTAACCTTGGTTTGAGGTTTTCCGTTCCGAATAACAGTTCTGCATTTTACTAAATGAGCTTTTCAGATGGTAGGTAACCTGAGTCAGTGAAGTTTGCAGTGTGTATTTCCACTAGAGCCTATGTATTAGTCTATTAGACTGTATTTTAAAGAATAACCGAATACTGGAAGAATGGTAAATGAAATGGTGCGATGAAGAGAAACTTGTATGGTCAGAAGGATGCTTCAGAACATTGGTCTGGAGATGGGTTCCATAAAGATTTGGTCCTGTAAACTGCATTTTTCATATGTATTTCAGAGGAGGAAGCTGAGGAGATGAATTTGTCAGTCTGATGAAAATTAAGTAAAGGAGTGTCTAATGTAACCATGTCTAGTGAAGCTTATTTTTGTTCAAAAGGATTTCATCAAAAGGAAGTAATGAAGGGAATATCCGGCTACTCCCATACTTATCGTGGCTCGTTACCATTGCCAAAACCAGTATAATAACAGTGTGAGAAAGCAGGGACAATTTTATAAGGCACTTACTGGGAGCTCCGGTGTTTGACTGTCAGCCTTTTTTTCCGGGTGCTTCAGGGGAAAGCAAATCAGTAGTGTATGACCCAGCAAATTCAGTTTAGGACTTGTAATGTTAACTCAGGACCAGTCTTCAAGACTGATTCCATACACTGCTTTTTGTAAGACTGACTTTGGTATTCTAAGGTTTTGTTTTGATCATTTAGGGTGGGGCTTATTTGCATCTATACTAACATCACAGTTCCAGAGTAGTTTTTATCTTTTAAAGCATTGAAAATAATAAATGCCACACTTTTGTGTGTGTCAAATGGGATGTATTTTCCATCTGTGGAAAACTTTTGGTCTATTTGTTCCGTTTTTGTTAATATTTCTAGCTTGTCGCACTTCTATAGAAGCCTTTTGAAAGGTGGAGTGCACTTGCTAGGACCTCTGTGTATTTTAAGACACTGAGTATACAGAAAAACTTATTTTCTGCAATAGCAGATCTCTTGGCAAAGTAAAAAGGCTTGCATGCTGCATCTTAATTACACAAATACTTTATATTCAGTGATTTGTTCTACTTAATCTTTTCTCACTCTGAAATAGTAGTCTCAATCCTCTGTTTGTAATATGTTTGCCAAAGCAGGCAGTGATATAACACTTTTTTGTTAGAGCAGGAATGGTTCATAACTCACAAGAGGCAGATCCCTGAGTGAGTCATTTAGGTCATTCCCACTTGTGTGGAAAAAATATTACATCATTGCCCTGTACTCAGTGTTCTATTTATACCATGCCAGAATTTTAAGTACATTTTGCTTTTTTTAGATGCTGTAAACAGTATTGGGGGGTTGTCTTAATGTTACTGCTAGGCCATAGAAGGAGCATTACTGAATCAAGTATTTACAGAGAGTCCAGGAGCTAGAGGAGTGTTCTGTCTGCTAATATAAGCTTGCAAGAAGGGGAGACCTTTGCAGCAGAAAGAATGGATTTGTGCCTTCTTTTACTCTGCTATATACTTAACCTTCTTGGTTTTGATTTTTTTTTTTTCCCCTCCCCTTCTTGGTTTTCATTAGAGCAGTAAATAAAGGTGGAACATAGATGTGAGCATGTCTGGCAAATATTGATGAGAACACCTCTAACCTAAATTTATTCTTGTTGGTTGTGGTCATGTCTTATGGTTCATTCACAGCTTTCAATTTCAAGTGTATTCCTTGAATAATATTAAAAATATCCCCCCCCTCCCCAAGTAATTGTGCAGTTGCACCACTATATGTCCATTGCTCCTTTATTTTCTCCAGCTTCATATCTTGCATTCTTGTATTACCATTGCTTGTGGAGTGCTTTTTGTCTCCTTACGTTTTCACTGGGTTAAACCAGCCTCTGTGGTTTCATACTAAGGCTTCTGTACCGGAAACTTTTCTTGCAGCCAATGCTACTTATGTTTTGCAGACATTTCTTTCACAACACAAACACTGATGAAAGTAGTGAATTTTTCCTCAGGTTTAACGAAGCAGGGTGACAATTATATTGAAGTTTCTTCTGATACTTTATACAGAGCTATAATCTGCTTTGCTGCAAAACACTAGAAAAAGTGTTCTTTTTGTGCTTTTCTGTATGTGTATTCTTAAAAATTTTCTGGTATTACTCTGGAGGCAACACCTTTCAGATGCAGCTTTTACCAGAACTGTGAATAAAATGAACTGTACTGCTGACAGCAAGGGGGATGTGTTTGTTTTTTTTGTTTGTTGTGGATTTTTTTTCCCCCTAAGATAGTACTGCTGTGATTACTGGAGGGCTTTTGCCTGCATCAGAATGTTGGTTAGAGTTATTTCTCAATCTGAAAAGTTGCTGTAGAAAAGGTTTAGATGAAAGTTAATTTGAATAGAGGACTACAAGGAAAGTTGTTGCAGAGAATGTGGGTTTAGCGTTTTTTCTGCTTTCTCTGAATCTGTATTTAAACTCTTCCAAATATAACAAGGTAGGTAGAGTTTAAGAAGAAATAGTTGTGTGTATATGTATACGTGTGTTGATACTGTCAAGCATCATAAATGGAGTTGAGGGTCAGATGTCCCTTCAAGAAGAAGAATTGAGCTGCAAAATGTCATTATATCTGATTGATGGGTGACATATTTCAGAGTACCAAGGACCTGGAGCTCATGCATAGAAGTGATTTATTACAGCTTAATGAGATTGTGTATGATAGATAATTCGCATGTGCACTTTGAACACATGGCAAATGTGAGAGAATTTGCTAAGTTACAATAACTTACTAATTTATCTGAACGCTGGGAACAACTGTAGGCAACCATGACCTCCAGCTTGAAATCAAGGTCTTGATTCCTTTTGTACATTGAAGATGACATGATATTCTTAAGGATAATTGTAATTCTTTGTGTTCTGGATGTATTTCTCTAGTGGCATTTTTTTTCCATTGCCTTCAACTTAACTTGTGAATCCTAAACAATTTGATATATTGTCTTGCAAGTTACTGTTCTGTTTGGGAATGTCAACAGACTGCTGCCTTATAATGCTCAGATGTGTAACTTGCTGTTTCATGAAATATTTCAAAACATTATATTAATGCAGACTGTTGCTTTCTGTAAACTTAGGTGACCGGGTCATAGACGTAGGGTCAGAGTGGAGAACTTTCAGCAATGACAAAGCTACAAAAGATCCATCTCGAGTTGGGGATACCCAAAATCCTCTGTTGAGTGATGGCGACTTGAGTACAATGATTGGCAAGGTAACACTTAAAATGAAAAATTTTACTAAGTTTGAGTGTTCTTATGTGAAGTACATGTTTGTATGTCCGTAGGGAAACTATGCAGACAGTATTTACAAAGACATTTTGTCTAAACTGAGCTCTTATACTTCAGTGATGTGTAAAATGTGGCTTTTTCCTGGGGGTAGCAGGAAAGGGCTGACCTCTTCAACAGAAGTATAGTTTGTAGTGCTGTGGGGTTACTTGCCACTCTTTGGTATGCTGCTATAAATAGAAAAGCTGATGTTGCAATCTTTAAAGAAACACTGGTTTAGCATGCGTGTTTGAGATGATTCTGAAATAACAGATACTTAGTTTTGAGGTCTCAATAGCTAGTACTGCCCAACTTGAACTGTCAGTTATTGTAATCTATATTGGATTCATATTGGAGACCTAGAGATCTACATGCATGTTGTACATGTTTTTCCAGTTAAAGCACTAAATGTAGAATTCTTTCATGGTGTGAATGCTCCGGAAGAAAGTATTCAGTGCATACTTGAGTTGAAATTTAGTGGTACAGCCATATCCTACTTTTTCCCATGAGAGAGCAAGCAAGATTAATTGCATAAATGCACTCCCTTTAATGAAGTAGTGAACCAGGTAAGTTTTAATTGTTGTACGTTTTGTTACTTTTTTTTACTGCAAGATCCAAATTGATTCTTGTGGATTTCTTGAATGCTTCATGAAGGGTGATCCAGTTGCTGATAAATAACTATTAAAACATGTATTGCTGCTTTGTGTGTTGTGCTGTGTATGCCTAGGATTCCTCAGAAGTTTTCTTCCAGTAATGTTGCTAGGATGAAGAAGTCGACATACCTAAATATGTATGGGTGTGTATAGGGGAGTGTGCACCATACCAAGAATTGTTCAAAGAGATGAAGTTGACTAGTGAATACTGATATGGACAGCTAATCTTTCACTATTGGTAAAAAGAAATCTTCTGTTAAAAGGATTGTCCAAGTAGATGCTTGTGTTTTGGATAACTCCAAGCATTGCTGCCCGCTAGTTTTTAGGATGCCTTATGGTTGCTTTTGGAGTTCATTCAGGTAAACAAATTTCCACACTGCTCCATTAAAATGTTGGCATTGCGAAGTACCTCTGTGAAGCAGTGCTGTAGAAGGCGGTGGAGTTTTAATGTCACCTGTATATATCCAGAAAGATTGTAGTTCTCAGGGCTTGTATTTCTGTTGCTGATTTAGTCAGCTGTGATAAAGATCAGAAATAGTCTTTATAGACCGATGGAGAAATTGACTGTTTGCTTCAGGTTCACACTTGTCTCCTTTTGGGACTGTACATACAAGGTTTGTTTTGGGGAGCTCAGTTTAAGGTAGGATGACCCTGAGCTCTTTTAGAACCTGCATGTTGGAAAAGACAAAAGTTATTTCAGCTGAAGGTAGAATATGTATCCAGGTGATCAGGGAATTGTGCTGTTAACCCTCTTCTTTCTGGTGGTTCAGAGCCTCATTTAGAATAAGAGGGGTAGCAACCTCAGTAAGAGAATTCAAGACCTAGAGAAACATCTGTGAAAGGTTTGTTTTTCAATGAAAACTAAAAATTTTCAGAGATGGACATTCATCTAATGAAACAGTTTTGCTGTTAACCAGCACATCCTAGAGTAGGCATGACCAAACCTGCTGTAGCAAAGAGTGCTGTTCAGTGAAGACAAGATGCAGGAATGTCAGTGTGGCACGATTTAACCTGAGAACTCTGAGTAAAAATGTCCAAGTACTGGAACTACCAGGATCATATTGGTGAGTGTAGAGGGAGCAGTGTGTTCTACTGTGGATGTTTTATTTGCATGGGGAGGAATCACGAAAGAGATGCATTATTTTCTACAGGAAGTAGGGAATCTCTTTGACAAATCACGATGTGTTCTGTATAAGAGTTCCTGTGTTTGTCTTGCCTGTGAGCAGAGGCTCTGGGATGTCAGCTCATTGACGTGAACTCTGTATCAGGAACTGCATTTTTCCTCAGTCATTTGGAAGGAAGAGAATGGCTTATACCAGAAGATGCAGAAAGGGCATGAATTTTGCAGCAAGAATAACTAAACCAAGTATTTCTCAAGCGGTCTTTTGAAGTCCCTGCCAGCAGTAGGCTGGGATGAGGATTAACCTAGATATGCGCAGTGGTTGAACAAGGATGAAATTGGTGTAGTCATGAAGATAAGTAGTATCCAATGGAGTGCAGAATGGCTTTCATGAATTCCAGAGAATGAAGCAGGGTAAGATAGTGTTTTCTCTGTTAACAACAAATTTTAGAATGGCCTGAAGTGGACCCCAGATTTGTGTGCCAGAGATTGCTTTAGCCTTTCATGTGGGACAGGGAAGAGAGAGGTATTCTTTTCTGCTTGAGGTAGAGCTGCAGATAATAGAATCTTTAAAACAAACGCTCCCCCCACCCCACCCCCCCAAACCAAAAAAGCTCAAAGGACAACCTGTGTCATGGAAAATCCAAAACAGAAGGACATTGATAATTCTCCTGGCACATAATATTAGAGGTTTATTGTAAACTGGGCAATGTAGGTGGAAGTGGAGTCTGACCCACTTACCTACAACAATAAAGTTCTGGTGATGACTTGTTGCCTTGAAATAGTAAAGGAAGGGGGCCATTTCTGTTTCACAGAATTGTTTGTCACTCTTTCCTTTTTGAAACCAGGAGGTGCTGCTTTGGGTTCTCTTTCTGCTGGGGGTATGTCATCTGTATATGCAGCAAAAAAGAGGCCGCTTTGCCCATGCAAAGGGATTAGTTCCTAATTGGTTTTAGTACTTAAGGGACCCATCTGTCTGAGGCAGCAACAGCCTGCTTTGGAAGAAAGATTAATTTGTCTGTGCAGAGGAGAATGAATAGCATAGCTGGCTGTGGTGGAAGTGGTTTGCATTCTTCGGGCAGATCCTTAGGATACTGGCACAACTATATCTCTCTGAAAGTAAATACTGTGTCCTGCAGTTGATCTGATGACAATGCAGATGAGCTGGAGATGTGAGATGTCTGGCATTAGTTGTGACTTGATTACCATAATATTATAGTTATTTCTAAAATCCTCATGTAAAATTCAAGAAAAATAACTAAACAAGCAGCTTCTAGATTTGCCTTCATATAATGAACTCTTTTCTATGAATCTAAAATAAAACTTAAGTTTTGCTACCTTGTCTTGGGAAAAGTTGTATTCTGTCACCCTTTGTAGTTAATCTATTCCTTTTTGTAGTGACTGCAACTACAACAAAATTTAGGTTGGTGAAACAAGAAAATAATGCAATCTTTTAGTATAGAATTCCTACCCTTTGATCAGATGCCTCTGAAAGGAAGCTGGCTCTTGTCAGACTGCCTGGCCTGCATCCAGAAGTGGGATATTGATAAGCAGTGTCGAGATACCAAGGGCTGATGATTGAAAAAGAAAGGATCCATCAGACTATAGTGAGCTGGTTATACTGAGCAAGAAGACTGCTGGATCTGGGGGCATTGCTTGGTACTGTGGATAACTTCCAGTCAACGATGCAGATGATGTTGGTGATACTTCTACTTCCTGCTATTAAAGGGGCTATATTCGGGTACAAAGTTGTCTGCCAGCACTGTAAACCTAACCTCCACTGAGCCCCTTCAGAGATTACCAGTGTTTACTGGACTGTGTTTTCTCACTCTAGTTATCTTTGAGGCTGTTTACAGGATTGTATCCTTGAGGTTTCTGCTCTGTTTGAAAGCCAAGCAGGTAGAACTCCTGACTTTGACAGGTACCTTTCTTGCTGGGCTGGTAAAGATATGAGTAGATGTTTCATAAAGGCCACAACAGTAAAACACACAATTCTTAAAGTCTCTTTGATTTAGGTTAAAACTGTATGACTTCTGTTTTTTTTTTTTTTTCCATGAAGGGGGAAAGGGACTCATAACATGGTTGCCAAGGGTAGAAGCAGTAAAGCATTGTCTGTCAATTGAAGGCTCCAGAAGGAAAGTAGATGGTGCATTTAAATAGCAAATGCAGGGAGAATTGCTGTGGTTTAAGCGGTTGAGATGGAAGAGTATTTTCCAACCCTTTTATAGTTATGAGCTTGTATTGGGTTTGTGTAGAAAGGTTTTGGTAGCAGGGGGGTGATGGGTGGCTTCTGTGAGAAGCTGCCAGAAGCTTCCCCTATGTCCGACAGAGCTCATGCCAGCCGGCTCCGAGATGGATCTGCTGCTGGCCAAGGCCATTAGTTTAGCGCCTCTGGGATAACATATTTAAGAAGATAAAAAAAAGCCAACTGTGAAACAGTAATTGCAGCCAGAGGGAGGAGTGGGAATATGTGAGAGACCCCAAGATCAGTGCAGGAGGGGGAGGAGGTGCTCCAGGTGTCAGAGCAGAGATTCCCCTGCAGCCTGTGGTGAGGCAGCTGTGCCCAGGTTGGTTCATGGGGGAGCAGTTCTCCACCTGCAGCCCAGCGAGGAGCCCATGCTGGAGCAGGTGAATGCACCTGAAGGAGGCTGTGACCCTGTGAGAGGCCTGTGCTGGGGCAGGTTCCTAGCAGGACCTGTGGCCCCGTGGAGAGAGGAGCCCGTGCTGGAGCAGGTTTGCTGGAAGGACGTGGGGGACCCACGCTGGAGCAGTTCCCGAAGAACTGCAGCCCCTGGGAAGGACTCATGCTGGAGAAGTTTGTGGAGAACTGTCTCCCATGGGAGGGACCCCATGATGGAGCAAGGGATGAGTTTGCGGAGTCCTCCCCCTGAAGAGGAAGGAGTGGTAGAAACAGTGTGTGTTAGTTGACCACAGCCCCCATTCTCTGTCTGCCTGCACCGCTATGGGAAGGTGTTTTAAAATTTGTTTTATTTCTCATTATCTTACTCTGATTTGATTGGCAATAAATTAATTTTTCCCAAGTTGAGTCTGTTTTGCCTGTGATGGTAACTGGTGAATGATCTCTCCCTGTCCATATCTCTACCTGTGAGCCTTTCATTATATTTTCTCTCCCCTGCCCAGCTGAGGAAGGGAGTGATAGAGTAGCTTTGGTGGGCACCTGGCATCCAGCCTGGGTCAGCTCACTGTGGAGCTGTATATTGGGTATGGCTCTTTGAGTGCTCATATTGACAGGGTGTTTGCCTGTAGCTGTATTGGTAGTTCCAATATACATAAGCAAATGTTCAAAGGAAAAGGTAACCATAAGTACTGGCAAGAAAGTAAAAAATGAGAGGTTAAGGAGAACCATTACAAAACCCCCCTATCTTTTAGGTGCTGTAGAGTGGAACAGAGAAAATCTCTATGGTGAAGGGGAATGCTTGATGGCCACAGGACAGAGCAGTGTTTCCTGGTAAAGGACTCCCTGGCATGAAGCCTGAGTAAACAAGGACCAGGGAATTGCTGTCAGGGTTGATAGGCATTTGTATGTGGTCACTTTTCTGTCATCTAAAGGGTTCTGAGCACATGCAGTTGCTGTTAAGTGTTTGTGCATAGTGTTAGTCTAGGAGGCTGTGATGCCCATAAATGTTGTGATGTCTTGCAACAGGGGTATGAGTGATGGCTGGGAAGGAGCTTTTTGACCTGGGACATGTATATTTTGGGCCAAGGGAAGTTGTTCTGGCATAGTTTCTGAAAGGAAGGACTAGTGTTGCAGATATGTTTGTAGTGCTCTTTGTGGCCTGAAGTTTAATGTACTTGATTCTTGCTCTTTGCTTACCTTTAAACCTTACTGGGAACCTTTGGACAGTTGGAGGTGTTCATCTAGTCAAGGAAGCAGGATTGTCTTTGGAGCAGCCCAGCACTACGTTGGTGTCAGGATCATTTCTGGTCCTTTCATCTGAAAGGATGTTTGAAAGAGTAGAAAAAAACCAAGAATGATCTTGGAATCTAGCATCTGTCATAGAGCCTGTTCAAGGGTCTACTAGGGAAGCTTGCAGGGGAGGGTTCTGTGCTGGAGTCCTTGCTCTCCACAGCAGTAACAAAAGTGCGTGTGCCTCACAGATACAAGTCTCAACGCTAGAGGTATGAGCTCATTGGCAATGGGGTGTAATTGGAGTCCTTGGGTGTAGGGAAGTGAAACAGTATAAGTGAATGGTCAAGAGTGAGTGCTATTAGTGTCAGCCAGAGATCGTGTATTAAATGTAGATGTGCACCTGGGAGAGACTATAGAATTAGAAATAGAATGGGAGTTCCTAAGAACATATATTGGGAAAGAAGAAACAAGCTCTGACTCCTCCTGGGCAACTCAGAGGAATAAGGTGGTGCCAGGGTGTGGTTTGCCCTTTGTTTGCTGTGTTCTGTCCCCGCTTCGTACCACATGGGCATCCTGGTACATTGCTGGGTCCTCAAATTGAGAACTATGTGCAAGTGCTGGATGTGAATAGTCAGGTTAGCAGTTAGTCATAGATCAAGATCTGCTTTATGCTTAATGTTTTTGGCAAAATAGTAGTCTCTGTCTGCAGCAGCCACAGTATCAGCTTGTTTAAATGACCAAATCTGTCTGCAATGGAAGTTGGATGCACCTGCCCTGATAAATTGTTTGAAGGTGCCAGCAAGGATTAAGGGCTTGCTGATTCAGGGAATCCAGGTTTCTACTCATGATGTGGAATTGTTGTGAAGAAATGTTTGCTGCCTAAAAGAACTCATGGCCCCACACACTGTGACAGCAAACACATAAGTAGACAATATAAATTACAGACATTGCTCTTCTGAACTTACAGGCCATGTTGTCATCAGCTATGACTAATCTGACATGGCATTATTTGTTGAAGACATGTTTCAGACTGATGGCTAATTGAAGACCCTAAACATTTTAGGCCCTCTTAGTTGGGCAAAATTCATTGCATATGTACTAAAGTGTGCAATTTGCACTATCAGTTGTAAGGTACAAAAAAACCCCCAACCATGTTAGAAGCTTGTTTTGAAGTTGCCAGGTTGAGTTAGTTCTTCTAATATCTCAAGCTTTTCTTTTAGGAGGTCTCTGGTTTTCCTGTAAAGACAGAATATATGGATATTTACATTTTGCCCTAATTAAGGCTTGCACCTGCTAGCAGGGCACAGTATCAAATTGGTTTTGAATAGGTCATTGGTTTGGATATTCTCCTTGATGCCTTCATTTTCATATTTGAGTTATCAGTGTAACAACTGGTCTCCAGTTGGCCATAAAATCTTGTTTTTCTGACTCGTCAGTCTGCCACAGTGCAGATGCAGCCCAGATGACATATGGGTTGCATAAAATCTAATCTTGGACCTCCACATTGGTGACAAAAGCATTGAGATGCACACACTGGCTACATGTTAGTAACCTTATTCTTTGAACTATTGTTACATTAGGAAATAAAAAATCTCTGCATAATCTGTGGTCCTTGGAAATCAGAACACGATTTGAGATGTGCAGAGTACAGAACCTGATGTTTGGAACAGTGCTCGATTGTATGATTTATTTCAGTGATGATTATTTGTGTAACTGTTTGAACTGAATGCCTTGAATTAAGATGTATAAAGCTGAAAGATGTTTGCTTTTGACATGAGAAGAAAGTTGTTTGTGTTTTATTGACAATAAAAATTTTTCAGGGCACAGGTGCAGCAAGTTTTGATGAATTTGGGAATTCAAAGTACCAAAATCGCAGAACTATGAGCAGCTCTGATCGTGCAATGATGAATGCTTTTAAAGAAATTACGAACATGGCAGACAGAATCAACCTTCCTAGAAATATAGTTGTAAGTTCATGTCTTTCTTCCTTAAATTGTTCTGGTATTGACTTAGTTAGCATAATATAATGAGCACATGAATTTTTGATACTGCTGCTAATTAAATGGCCTAGAGTTAATTAAATTTAGTCTTTTTGCTTTGAAGGATCGAACAAATAATTTATTCAAGCAAGTGTATGAGCAAAAGAGCCTGAAGGGAAGGAGTAATGATGCTATTGCTTCTGCTTGTCTCTACATAGCCTGTAGGCAAGAAGGTGTTCCAAGAACGTTTAAAGGTAAGTTTTCAGTGATACAGATTCAATTTTGCTATGAAGTAAAGGTCTAGTTACTGTCTCTGTAGGAGGTTGGCTTTCTTATCCCTGGACTTTGCTGGATCGGTTGTTCACAGCTACAGCTCACGTTTCGGGGGGAAGGATAGGAGGGAATCTGGAAACTTGTTATATTCCTGAAGTGAGTAGGCTTTCAGGCATGGGATTTTTTTGTCATAATCCACTGAAAATAATTTAGCATTTGAAAGTCATTCTGAGTGTTGGTGAAACTTAAAAGGTAGTGGATGAAGACTGTTGTAACTGAATTTGAACCAACAGTTCTGCAGTAAATATGTGCAACTTTTCCCTGACACGGGTACAACTTTTTTTTGCCATTGAGTACCAGATTTCCTTTACTAAGCAAGCTCTATTAATTATCTCCTTACAAGAAACATGCACTGACTGAAGTGATTTGGAAGTCTCACAAATGTGCAAAGCTTATTCAGTGATGGTGGCCTTCATGACATCAGCCTTCTTTGTGGGTCTTGATATTTTGAGAATCAAATTTGACTATTTTGGGGGAGCAAATGATGTCAAGTCTAAAGTTTAATTTTTACTCTTTGTTTAGAAATATGTGCAGTGTCCAGGATTTCAAAGAAGGAAATAGGCCGGTGTTTTAAACTTATTTTGAAAGCACTTGAAACCAGCGTTGATCTGATTACAACTGGAGACTTCATGTCAAGATTCTGTTCTAATCTGGGTCTTCCCAAACAAGTACAGATGGCAGCAACACATATTGCCCGTAAAGCTGTTGAGTTAGATTTGGTTCCTGGCAGAAGCCCTATCTCTGTAGCAGCTGCAGCTATTTACATGGCATCACAAGCTTCTGCTGAGAAAAGGACACAAAAAGGTAAAACATCTTTTCTTCTTTTTTCCTCCATGTTTTTCTGCATGAAAGAGAATTCAGTGTTATTGTAAACTTGGATGATGTCTAATTGCATATGGCAAGGACCAAACCAGGATCTCCCATTCTCCAGAATGAAAACTGAGTTAACTGGCCATGCTCAGTGTAAACTGTGTTTACTTCCTTCTGGCACTAGGAGCTGGATTCTTGAATGCAATAGACTAGTGCATTCACATGAGCACATGTGTGTTCTGCTACTCTAAAATACTTCAGATGCAAACTGGGGCCAGTTGCAGGTAGTGTTACAGTTCTAGATTACAGAGTCTTTAATTGTTCTAGCGGGGGATCACCTAAGTTAGAAGATATTCCTTGACTGCTTGTGAGGCTGTGATAAAGACGGAAAGAGGTGGGACAGCAGGCTTGGCCACAGATCACCAGATCTTCTGGCAGGGTAGCCCTTGAGAAGCTAGCAGTGTTCAGGGCTGTTCTTGAGCTTCAGAGCAGCATGGATCAGCCTCTAGGGCTCAAGAGACTCCGGCTTATATGGGGATAGCGCCTGAGGAAGGAAGGGAGCTTAAGGCTGGGGTGGTTAGTAATTGGTGTACAAAAGGATCCGAGTGCTAGGAGCTGGCTGTGGGAGCTCTCTTGATGTGTTTAGTCCAGATCAGAAATGTTAAAAGTCCAACAATTTCTTAGTGGAGAGCTGATCTTAGGTAAAGAATAACCTTTATTCGTCAGGTGGCAGTGCTCTGTTCTACGTTAATCACTGCCTATTCTGTCCCTGGAACTTTCATCATGTTGGCAGTTTCCTGCGCATGCGAGTGATCTAGAGCCCAAGCAGTACAATGCCTTCATCCTTGCTTGCCTTGAGCTATTGGATTATGTCTCTTAAGAGTGATTGTTAAAACAAAATACATCTGCCTGCCATGGATACAGACATAACTCCATACTCCTTCAGTGCCCTCAGACAATGCTGAAGGCTTTCATGCAATTCAAGGTTTAAATTCTGTAAATTTTAAGTTTCTGTGCATCTCAGACAGGTGTTTCCTTTGCTTATTAAACAGTGCTCTGTGCATCGGGCTATTTTCTCTGTGCATTTTAAGGTGAATGTATTTCATGTTTAGCTGATGGTATTGCTTTTTGTCTATGCCTGAGGTTTTTTTGCTGTTTTTGCTTATATTTAATTAAATCATAAAAATGAACATCCTGATGTTGATGATTTATTAGAATATTGCTGGGCACATGTAGAGTTTGCAGTAGATGTTTCTAATGACTTTTGTGCTCTTGGCCCTCTGCCAATTTGAAACTGATATTATTTCAAGATTGATAGCATAAGTTGAATTATGGCATGTGAGAAGACAGACTTATGCATGCAAAATATTAGTCTCCATGGTTAAAACCATTTTTACCACGCTTTTGGGAGAGTTATGAATTAAGCAGTTTATAGAACTACTTGATAAATTATGCTTGCTGGTTTCTTCAGTGCAAATGGCAAAAGTAAAAACTAATCACTTATCTGCATTTTGTCTTAGAAATTGGTGATATTGCTGGTGTGGCTGATGTTACGATTAGACAATCGTACAGGCTGATCTATCCTCGAGCTCCAGATCTCTTCCCAGCAGACTTCAAGTTTGATACACCAGTAGACAAACTACCACAGCTGTGAAATTGCAGTGTGTTACTTGTAATTTCTCTTTAAAACAAAACAAAAACCAAACAAAACACCAAACCACAAAAAACCCAACAACAACAAACTTGATTTTTGCCTACAATAAAGGATGTACCAAGTGTTAATATTGAGTCTTCATGTTGTGGAACTGGAGGATATGGAGATGGAGCGTAACTGCTGGAACACAGCACACATTCCAAGGGTAAACAAGCTCATTGTGTGGCATTTTGTATGTATATATTAGTGAAAGTAAATATTTAATGAATCTTGCAACAAACTTAATTTCATATTGTTGTACTTATTTAGATTTCTTTTGTAGGGATCTAGTAAGATGTATTTTGGAAATTTAAAATATTATGTAATTCCCAAATAAACTGTTTTCCAAAAACACTTACCATCTTGTGACTATGACTGCAACTTGACATGCACATACTGTTCCACATGCTGAGAACTGGAATGCAGTCCATAGGATGGTAGAGTTAGCTTCAAACTTGTGGACTGAGTCACAAGGCTGCTTAAATGCTCACTTTCTCGACAATTTTAAAATCTCTAGCGTGGCTTTAGTATGTGTAGTAAGCTGTAGAGTAGAGTATGGATGACTTAACCCAGAATGCAAGCAGTTGCTGAAAAGCAGTTTGACCATTTGCACAACTGCTGCTGAAGATTTCCAAATTTGTTGTGAAAGGATTAGTCACACCCTTGCCACAGTCTCCCTGATTTTCACTGATGTCTCTCTGCTTCTGGGAATTTGACATAATGACAAAGCAGCTAAAGAGAAACATAAGGACTTTAGTTGAATTTCTACAACTTGATGCTCGGTATTGTACAGAGGAAGGTAGAAAATGTTTCTGGTAGAAGTTCCTGTTAAATGTTCTGACCTGAGTGCAGCCTGCAGTCTGGCTGGCCTGTGGTTAAGCTTTTGGCACTGTGATACTCTGAGTGAGCCCTTGCTTGTCTGAAATGATGCACCAGGTGTGGAGGAGCAAAGGCCAGAAGTTATTCAGTCCTCCCCAAATGAACTGCTTTGAAAACTAGCTTCCTTCTGACAGTGTCCCTTTGTGTGCAAAGCAACAAATGTACTTAACTGAGAGTCTTCTGGTTCCTGAGTTAATTTTGTATCACAGGTGCAAATTCATTTTAATTAGCAAAATGAACAGCTGAGGGGTCAGCTTGTGACACATCTGGTCTCTGCAGTGTGAATAGCACCAATTGTCAGTAGCGCTCACTGTTTTCTTGCTTGTTCAGTTTTAATCCTCTTCTGTCAGTTGAGACTACTGAAAGGTGGCAGCTCAACATTTTTTTTCTAATAACAAAGGCTGTACAGTTCTGTTACACCACTGAAGCTATTGGCTGTAGATGTTAAAAGTGGTGTTCTTGGTAGTTCGTAAGGCTTGTACTCTAATAGCTAATATATTTCCTTAAACTTTGCTGTAACACTATTACCTAGGCTTTCCCTGTCTTGCTCTGAACTCTACCTCCTCTGTGGGAGAAGGTGTGATGCTTTGAATAGGCAGGGCCTGACCCTTAATGTAGTTAACCGTTTGGAAATGCAGAGGTAAAAGTTCTTTTACTGTGAAGGTACTTTCCAGCATCAATCAGTATGTTAAATCTACTCCCATGCAGGTTAAAAATGGCTGAAACTTATGTTTACAATAATGCTGCTCTCTTAGATGCTTTTAGGCAGTATGTGTGAGCACTTGACAGGTGAGTGGTGTTTACAGCTGAAATTGTTTCATACAGCAAGGCTGGGCTGGTGTTTCAGTACATCTGTGCAAAGCTCTGGAGGCAGGGACATACTATCCTGGATTGACTCTGCCTCTTCCTGTGATTCCACAAGCAGTTCTGGTTCCTCTGCTGGTGCCAAGAGGGTAGTACTGCACAGCCCTAAGAGGCAGAACCAGGACTTGTGCTTGAAGGGGTCTGTATATTCTAAAAACCAGTTACTACTGGTCCCAGTAGACTATGGTTAATGTGAAGCATTTCAGGAAAAAAAAAAAGTGTAACTGAATTCATTTTTAGGCAGTTAGAACCCCTTTAGTGAGCTGCTTCGATGAAGTTAAGGAATTTGGCTTCTCTTACAGAAGTCCGTGTTCCTGGCTGGAGCACTGCTGGGCACTGGGTGCATGGGGCACCAGCAGTTCTGGGGCTTGCAGGGTGAGCTGGGGAGGAGGAGGCTGCAGCTCTGCAGCCTGTGTTAGCTAATTACCTTGTGTTTACTTAGCTAAGCAGTAGCAAAGGCTATATGACAAGTAGAGCCTAGAGCACAAGCAGTATCTACAGGCACTTCCCATGTGAATTCAGTAGGTCTTTGAACCTGTCTGCGTCCTCCTTTGGAGCCAGCCCTTTCTGGAATGATTGCTTAGTTAAGTGTTGAAGTTAAGTGGCTTTAGGCGCTGGCCTTAGGTGAAATTTCAGTTTGTTAATAAGAATAAAGATTTTTTTCCTAAATGCACTCAGTAAAGAAAGCTTCATTCTCTGCTTCAGTAATAAGCTTGCTGTGGGTTGGGTATAAGTTTTTGTTTGCTTCCAGAGCTTTCCTATATGGTGTGGGGGGGAAGAGACTACAATGAAGAAATAAGCAGGAGGGGGGAGGGAGTGTTGTCTCCCCCCACCCTGGAAGGAGGCCTGTGAAGGGAGAATGCTGATCCAAGCTTGCTGGGCTGCAATAGAGACATGATCTCCAGCTCCCTGCACAAGGACTGCTCACCCAAGCAAGAGGAGGCAACTTTCAGCTTCAGAAAGGAGGTGTGCTCAGAGGTAATCACTTTGGTTTTTTAAAAAATGAATGGAAGTACACTGAGCTACCACTAAGAGACTGGGGTTCTGTAAGTCCACTCCTGACTGCAAATTCTTTTCTGATGTTACCTGTGGAGAAAACATGACAAGTCACTTCAAGAAACAGCAAAATCATGTTTGGGACACAATTTACAAATTACTCTATTTAAAACTTTAATTTGTGATATTAATGACTGCAAAACACTTAGAATGACATTTGTTAAAGGCACATTTCATTTTAATGCATAGTGTACCATTCTAAAATATCCTAATTTCCTTACAAAGTGCTTGAGCAGCCACATACAGATAAAGTATAGCAAAATATATTTACAATCTAGGGTTTAAAATCTTAATCTGCCTAAAAATATTTAAAAAACTACAGAGATAAAATTAGTGCTTTCTTTCAGCTTAACTGGGTGAACATACCCTGCCCTCTAATTTTTTTTAATTTTTTTTAGTGATTTACTTAGATTAAAAAAAGATTTCTGTACAAGATGTAGTTACAAAAAGGTATTTTTGAGGATATTTTTGTAAGTATTAAGCACCCTGTTAGATGCTCATATATATATTTGGGAACCAAAGAGGGTGAGCTGACTGTACCTCAAAAGTATTGGTTTCAGCTAGATACAGGAACATAATTTGTTTCTTATTAATTAGAATCTGGAGACAAGTAATGCTGAAAAGTTGACTCACTCTGCCAAACATGATTGGTAGCACTGGTGAAGATGCCTGCCTTGTTCCTGTGGGGGTGGGGGGGGATGCCTGACTTAGACCATATGTAATTTTTTTTTTGCCTCCCTAAATCTCTTCCCTGCCTGACCCTGCAGGTCCGTCCAGCATCATGATTTTAAACAACCAGCTTAACGTTGCACACTCAAGTGGTAACAGACTTCTTCTTTGAATGAATAAAATTACAAATTATGAATAAATTGGAGTGCTGAGTCTCCTTGTCTTTGCCCACAAACAGCAAACTCCTGGCTAGGATGAACCTGTGAGAACACCAATGCAATCAAGTTCTGAATGGGGCTAGAGCCAAGGACCATGTGGGAAACTTATTTTCCAAGAATTAATGTTTGCCTACAGAACACCAGATGCTAAAAATAGGTCTTGGTTTACAAGTATGCACAGTGTCTGGTCTAAATTATTTTTCAGCTTTTGAGGTACAGCTTTTAGTGTTAAGGGGTTTATAAAATATACACTGATTTTATAAAAAATATTTATACATTCTGTTACAACATATTGCTTTTATCCTCAGTAACTGCCAATCTATGTTTGGGAGTTCAGTGGCCTATATATATACGAATATTTTTTCACTCTGAGTTCTATGTTGTTCACTTGGCCACTGTTAAAATTAATGAAGTGGTAAAATTAAATTACTTGCCTGGACATAATACATTACAACTTCCAAATATACATGTTCACAGCATGTATACATTGAAAATTCTTGTTTTCTAGAAGTGATATGATATTGTACAACAGATACAGGATGATCTAGGTGGTTAGAAACAGACTGGTTAACTTATCTGTTCACTTGGTGAGTGGGAAAGGCATGAGTTTGAGTACAGAAGTGGATGGGCTTGGGAAATGAATATGCTTTGCTCTTTGTGGTTAGACTGAGCAACACCTTTGTTACATTCTTCATATCAGCCAGGGTTTTAAGCCATGCTTAAAAAGCTTGAAGGCAAAACTGTTTGGCAAGTGGCTTTGGTAAACTTTCTGGATTTTTCTGGATTTCTTTGTAATGGAAGCACTTACACTGTTATCTCAAAGGCAAGGCATTTAACATTTTTCCTAATAAATACCATAGAAAATTTACAAAACAAGGCATATCTGTTCTCAATACCATTATTTTAAGAACACAAGATGGTGTACACAGAAATGTGTAGTTTTATAGACTGCACAAGATATTTAACTGAAATAATTTGCCTTCTCCAGCTAGAACCATGTTCTGTGTGTCATCAGTATCTCAAACTTCTATTTCAGTGTGGCTGAGTAGAGACAAGTGATTACCTAGCTCAAAGTCTGCTTTTCCCACTTAAGGCAGACACCTAAAAAAGTGATGTTATCTGCTGTAAAAGAGTGAGAGAGACAGTGCAGCTCCATGTGTGCCCATGTGTGGGAGGCTGAGTACAGCCTGGGTTCACCAACTCAGCTTAAGAACTCCACAGACCTGCTTTCCAGTGCTCAGATAAAAAACAATATACAAAAGAGGCCACTCTTCACAAGAGTGTTAAAACAGTACTTAAAAGGATCTTCATGTGACTTAAAAAAAAGAAGCTACAGGTGGCACAGAGAGCAATTGAAGGGTTGGTATTCTTCTGAGAGAGGCATTCTTGTGAGCCAGTCAGCTGGGGTTTCACAGTGTCTAGAAGTTAACACCAGTCAGCAATGTAATCAAAATCTCTGAACATTTCCTGCTCTTCTTCTGAAAGTATCCTTGGTTCCCGAGGTGGAGTGAGGATAGGTGCTTCAGAGGTAAATTCATCATCAAAATTACTAACGTCTTCTCGTCCTCTAATGGTGGGTACAAAAGGAGGCTTCACTTTCTTGGCCAGTAAAGCATTCCAATCTATTAGCTGTAAAAGAAATCATCTGCTGTTTAGTTTCCTATCTCT